ATATAATTATATCATATATATATATATATATATATTGACCAATCGGACCAGTTTTAATTTTAATAAAATTGTGCTACTCTTAATGACTATAAAAGATTGAAAATATAAGAATACTATACATACGGAAAGTATAGAATGTGACTTTGGTACAAGGTGAGACATTAATCTTGACCATTGCACGTGAAATTGGATGGATTGACCAAGTTCAAACTTCAAAAGAAATTTTTTTGAACTTTGTGACACATCCAAGCTATCAAATTTCACATCGGATGGTTGTAAGTGATTGTGACCACCTTGTATCAAAGGTAAACGATCTAATTGTATACAATCCCCTATACATACGATATTAATTTTGAGCAAGTCTTTGCACGCCATAAATGACTTGGAAGTTGGCAAAGGCAAGTAAAGCAAATATCGAAGTATAGTGCGGTTGTGGGATAGCAGCCATTTACAAGATAAAGAGAAAACTGAGTTCCAATAAATAAGGCTAAAGAGAAAACTGAGTGCCAATAAAAAAGGAAAAATTTATATAAGGGCGAGGCCCTAAGCAATGAAATTAAAGAGCACCCAAAAAATTAACTTAAAAAGGTTGTTTCGATGCCCAAAAATCTTCAAAGTGATCATCTCGACCTCAAGATGTATAGACATAACGATGACCCGGTGCAAGAAGCCTCCAGGAAAGTAGTGAAAGGATCATTCACTGGCTGGAAGTAGGAGTCCTTTAAGAAGCTAGAGCGGTTCAGACCCGGTGAAGATTCTCAACTCTTCTTCTGACGAGAATGGATTTCAAGTCTTGGAAAAATAAAGTAATATGGATCATTGTATCAAGAAATGTCAATATAAGAAGAGTTAAAAAAGAAATCATGCAAAAATTGGGTATAACTGTCGAAGATGAAGAGATGATTGCTGAGAGATTGTTTCCTAATTTAAAGGAGCAAAGGTTCATTCTCATCTTAGATGACTTGTGCGAAGAGCTGGATTTAAATTCTATAGGAGTCCCTTGACCAAACACAAAAAATAGATCTAAGGTGGTAATAACTACCTGATTGTTAAATGTGTGCTATAAGATGGACACTCACAAGGAAATTTGGGTGGATGTTTTAACAGAGGAAGAAGCATGGCTCTTGTTTCGCAAGAAGGCAAGAAGTGTGGTAAACATGTCAACAACAGCACCCCTCGCGCATGAGGTTGTCAAAGAATGTGCAAGCCTGCTACTTGCCATTATTGTCGTCGTTAGTGCGATGAGGGGTAAGGATAATGTGCTTGTGTGGAGGAATGCACTAAGAGCCTTGAGAGAGGTAACAATGGAGATCAATGGCATGGAAGCTCAAGTATTTCGGCCATTGTGGTATAATTATGAGCAATTGGAAGATGAAAGCATTAAGCAATGTTTCTCATATTGCTCTCTATATCCAGAGGATTGGCAAATTGAAAAGAATGAGTTGGTCGATTATTGGATAAGTGAGGGGCTCCTAGGCAGAGTTGATAGTCTAGACGGTTTTAGAAACAAGGGCCACGCTCTAATTGAAAAATTGATTGACTCATGCATGATAGAGAAAGTTCCAGGAGATGATGATACAGTGAAGCTACATGATGTGATCCGAGACATTGCCACATGGATCTGCTCATCAAGAGAGTGCGGGAGGTTCATTGTGGCAGCTGGATTGGGACTGAAGGAAGCACGAAGGGTGGAGCAATGGAAAGATGCCCAACGTATTATCATCGATGATGAATGAAATAGAGAGACTTCCAGATAGGCCAGTGTGCCAGGCCCCAACAACATTGCTACTTCAAGATAACCAGAGTTTTAAGAACATTCCAGAATGCTTCTTTGAATGCATGGAAGCCCTAAAGGTGCTTGATCTCAGTAACACTGCTCACTGCCACAATCATTCTCGGCATTAAAGAATCTCCGCTACCTTAATCTATATTAGTGTGATGACCTAATAGATATTCCACACATAGGACATCTGAAGCAACTCCAAGTGATGAATTTATCCTTCACAGGAATCAACAGGTTGGCAGAGGGAATGGAAAAATTGTTCAATCTGAAGTATCTAAACCTGAGATTTACATCTAATCTTGAATCGATAGAATATGGGGTGATTTCAAGGCTAGCTTGCTTGGAGGAGCTAGACATGTTTGGTCGTGGATATAGAGATAGGAAAGCAATGGAAGGAGAGGGAGGTAGCACGGAAGCCTGCTGGGAGAAATTTGAAGGCTTGGGCTGCTTAAGCTCAATAGACATAAGAATCGGTCGCAGTGCCCCATTTTTTAACAAAAAACCCAATGATGGAAGGATAATCAGAAGCTAAGACATCTATTCCTAGAAGGATGCCACAGATTGAGGAATCTCGAGAACCTAACATACATGAAAAGGTTGACATACCTGGGCATCGTGGATCGTTCAAATTTGGAGTGGGTTGCTCTTGATTCAGTGCCCACCTTGAAGAGGTTGAATTTTGATTATTTGCCATTGCTGAGGAGAATTTGGAACTTAGATGGCAGACATCATCTTCTCGATCTTAACTTCATATCTATTTCAGAATGCAATGGATTGAAGAATGTGTTATTACCATATGTTGAGGAGTATTTGTGAGATTAGCTTAGAATGGTCTTCCTTGGAATCCATCAACATAAGGAATTGTCCCAAGTTAGAAAGGCTCCCTCCTGGTCTCCAAAAAGACAAAAAGTTAAGAAAAATTAGAGGAGAAAAGGAATGGTGGGAGGGATTGGAGTGGAAAGATGAGTATGCCAAGTCTATTTTGCTTCCCCTTTTTGTAGAGGACTCATGAGAGAGGCGATATACGGGAGAGAGAGGGTCTTGCGTTGGGGGAGTTAGGGAGAGAGGGAGGAGAGAGAGATTGATTTGAGAAGAGAGAACTTCCTATGTCATCACTTTCCCTTACACTTTTCTTATCTGTTCACCTCATTTATTAGTAACTTCTATAATGTATATTATTTGAAATTTTTCTTTATTAGTTTTATCTATCAATTCATGATCAATGAGCCCTTGGCTTCAGTGGACACAGTGGTACAACCAGAACTTGACATCAGGGTTCCATTCATACCCACTAACACGTTAAAAAAATAATAATATTTCTTTCGATCAAAAGTTAGCATTTCAGAATTTGATCACAAGTTGCCCTTTTCTAAAAATAAAACACATAAATACTTCTTCTTTTTTGACTTAAAAATGCGGACAATCAATTAAGAAAAACGATCAATTATGAAAACAAATCAGCAACAGGACCTGTTAAATTAAAAATAAAGCAATTAATGAAGCAACCAAGCTGTTGCAAATAAGTAGGCGACAATAATCTTTCTTCTTCCTTTTGTTCCTTTTAATGTTACAACCAGTCTTCTGTTTTATTCGCCTAACAATGGTGGTCAACACGTTCTCTTTTAGTTATCCTCCAAATAAAACTTCTCCATTGAGGAGTCCATGCCCCCATGGTGTAACCACCCATCCATACTTTATTGCAATGGACTAATTGGTTGCAGATTTACAATTTTTAAGTCTCCCAATTACCCAACTCAACAAATAAACACACAGAGGGTGCCATTGGTAGTCATATTTTCACTATTCCCACATAGATCATGGGTGGGAAGACCAAAATGTGCCTCTTGTGAACATCCAACCCATGATACCACCCTTCCCTCATTTGACAACGACAAGGGCATGTGGAATGAAGTTTCACTAAATAATTAAACACCTCTTTCCTTGTTCATTAAATATATATTTACCACCAATTGTTCATTGTCTTTTTTTTTTCTTCTTCATCTTTTTTTTTTTAGGTGATTCAGTGGGGAATACAGGCCCCTACCTGTTTTTTCAATTAGTTTAGAAGTTAGTATCTTAGAGGTGTTTGTAGGGTAGTGTCAATGGAAATGGAATCCACAACGTAGTGACTAAGGTGGGGGGCACTACCACCAAGACCCCAGCCCCCTCCCCATGTTCATTATCTTTTCTTTGTTGCACCTTCTCCTTTCTTTCTCTTGATCTTGTGGGAATAGCTGCTTCCTACCCACGTCTTACTTTTCCTCTTTGTCACTCTTTATAAGCAAAATCTACTCCTCTCCTTTATCTAATAACAACAGTATCTTTTTCTTTAAGCCTACTCCTCTCCTTTTGTTCACCTTGGTTTTCTTGACCCCTTTTTTTTACTAAGACAAGGGCCCCCTTCTGTTCACCTTGGTTCTCTTGATCGTCTTCTTAGCTAAGACAAGGAACTTTGCTTTTGTTCATCTTGGTTTAGTTGATCTTCTTGGCCAAAACAATGACCATTTTCTTATACTTCCCTCGGTTTCTCAAATATTTGGGCTTTACAGGAGCCTTTTACTTTGACCCAAGGCCCATTGTTAACTTAATTCTTTTGTTATAAGTTAATTACCCAGTTTTGCTTTATCTATCTTTTGCTACCAACAACCATGGAAATAGCTACTTCCCTTCTCAGGATTGTGAATACACTTTTTGTACCCATTACTTGACAATTAGGGTATGTCTTCAAATCCCATGAGAAGGTTGAGGATCTGAAAATTCAGAATGAACAACTTAAAGGCCCGACTTTCTGATATGGAGGCACGAATTGAAGCATCAGAAAGAATGCAAAGGTAGCCACGAGTAAAACACAAGGGTGGTTCAAAAGAGCACGAGATTTGGAACATGAAGCAGATGAAGGGCTTGTGAGATACTACACGAGTAAGTGCTGTATTGGAGGGCTCTGCCCAAATTGTCTCTCCAACAAGTCAGGTAGACATGCAGCAAAGAAAATATTACAAATCACATCTCACATCAATGGAGCAGATGGTTTGAATTGGAGCATGGATCAAGCACCACCATTGTTGACGGAGATGCCTACAACTCTCGTCACAGGTCAGTTGACATTTGACAGAAATGCAAATATGATCCCTGAATGTTTGAGTGATGAAGAAGTGGGGTGTGATTGGCATCTATGGCATGGGAGGAGTCAGAAAGACAACTCTCATGCAACATATCAACAATCACCTCTTAGAACCTCAAGATTTCAATGAAGTACGAATCACTATATTTAAAGAAAATGAGAAGTGAATGCAGAGAGTTTGTTTTCCAGTTGAAAAAAACAATGATTCAAGCTCATCTTAGATGACTTATAGGAAGAGTTAGATTTAAATGTTATAGGAGTCCCTCGACCAAAACCACAAAACAAATCAAAGGTTGTAATAAGCACCCGACTGTTAATAATATGCAATAAGATGGACACTAACCGCAAAATTAAAGTGGATGTTTTAACAGATGAGGAAGGTTGGGATTTCATAAGAAATCACGATATGTGGTAGATCTCCCTACGGTAAAACCCCTCGCACATGAGGATGTTAAAGAATGTGCTGGCATGCTACTTGCCATCATCACAGTTGGTAGAGCGATGAGGGGGAGGGGCAATGTCCTTGTGTGGAAGGATGCACTAAGGGCTTTACGGCAGCCAACAATGGAGATTCATGGCAGGGAGCCTCAAGTGTTTCGGCCATTGAAATATAGCTACAAACGATTAGAAGGTGAAAACGTTAGGAAATGTTTCTTGTATTGCTCCTTGTTCCCAGAGGACTATGAAATTTGAAAGGATGAGATGGTTGATTATAGGATAGGCAAGGGACTCCTACGCAAAGAAGATGGTATAGAGGATGCTTGAAACAAAGGCCACACTCTCATTGAAAAGTTGATAGATTCAAGCATGATAGAGAAAGTCCTTGAAAATGATGACAAAGTGAAGCTTCACGATGAAATCCGTGACGTCGCTATAAGGACTACCTCATCAGAAGATGGTAGGAAGTTTTGTGGTGGAAGCGCGAATGGGACTGCAGGAAGCCAGAAGAGATGGCGAATGGGTGAAATCAAGAATTTGGAGGACATTCCGGAGAGTTTCATTGGACCTATGGAAGCCCTAAAGGTGCTTGATATCAATGATACTGGATCCACTCACTGCCAAAATCGTTATCCAACTTGTACAATCTCTGTTTCCTATAGGACAGCTTAAGCAACTCCAACTGAATTTATCCTATACAATGATCAGAAGACTACCAGAGGGGATGGGAGTACTGGTGAATTTAAAGCATCTAAACCTGAGAGAGAATTGAGCCCATAAAATATGGGGTGAAATCAAGGCTAGCTTCCTTGGAGGAGCGGGAGATGTTGGTTGTAGATACACAGAATAGAAAGCGATGAACTTGGAGGGAAGGAACATGAAAGCCTGCTGGGATTAACTGGGATGCTTGGGGCGCTTATGCTCAATAGACATGAACATCAATGACAACACCCCATTTTTGAGAATAATACTCAATGATGAAAATATAATTCAGCAGCTAAGACAACTACAGCTAATACAATGCCAAGGCTTGGCACATCTTGAGCAACTATCCAACATGAATATGTTGAAGTAACTATGCATTACCAATTGCTCAAAACTCGAGTGGTTTGCCCTTGATGAAGTGTCCAATTGGGGTTGGCTACACGAATCCTAGTCTACCATTCTGCTTTATCAAGGGACATACCCTCAGTGAGGCCACAAGTCCCCATATCTTTTTTCACTACTTCCAACCATGTCCTTTTGGGCCTACTCCTTGTCTTTTTTGAGCCTTCCATTTAAACTAACTCGCACCTCCTAACAGGTGTACTTGGTATGCGATGTACATAGTCATCCCATCTAAGTCTACTTTCTCTCCTCTTATCGTCTATTGGTGCCACACCTAAATTCTCCCCATTGTATTCATTTTGAAATCTATCCCTTCTTATCTTGCCACTCATCCATCTCAATATCCTCATCCCAGCTACAGTCATTCTACGGATGTGTTGTTTCTGAAACCTCCCAACATTCTGCCCTATAAAGTAAAATAGCTAGTTTCACATATAGAACTTGCCCTTCAGCTTAATTGGTATGCAGCAATCACATAAAACTCCAGTTGTACATCTCCACTTCGTCCACCCAGCTCTAATTCTATATATGCATCTTCCTCAATATCGGCCGTGAGCAACACAAACCACAATACCTCATCTTGTAGGTGCCTAGTTAAGTCGTCCATAACTAAAACAGTTATGGGCTAGGTACTAGTTACCCCCTTTTGATACCATAATAATTATAAAACAGAAAAGGGCTTGAAAACCTATCTATTTTGAAACATAAAGATCATGAAAGAGTAGCTTTAAGAAAAACCTACAGATTTATTAACGTCACTTCTCATTTGTAAAATGTAATTGATACAAAATTTACTGCTAAACAGCATAACCTCACTGAATAGTGAAAAAAGAAGGAAAAAATAAGCATAATAAAAAAAAAAGGCCTCCAACTGGAATGTGGATAACACAATGACATGAAGAGCTTCTCCACCAGTTCTCATTGTCAGTTTCATCAAAGTAACTCGGTAAAAATACAAACCAGTGTACACATCACCTTCTGCAAAAATTACCTGACATCAATTTTATAAGCTTTCTTAACATTTCTTAAAAGATTTCCAACTTTGTCAAACTAAACATTCAAATACCTGCGGACAAAAATAAACTGCGGCCAAAACTATTTCAAAACAAATAAGTTACCAGCCCAGAGCCAGTGTGATGCATGGCTGTAACCAGCTAATTTTTTTGTGTAATTTAACTACACAAAAGCATGAAAAGAAACAGGTTTTGTACAAAACTAATTGTAAACATATTTCATTGAAAAACAACAACTTCAGAAAGAGAAGAGTTGTTGAATTAGAGTTGGACCGATGAATTGGAAGTGAGGTTTCATAGTCACATATGGTACAACATGGATCTCATGCATTAGTTTCACGCAAAAATATATCCCACATAAGCAACAGCTAGTACTCCCAGTATAAGTATGATGAAAGCGTGCAAAAAATTCACAGATCCTACAATAAATGTCCAGAAAACGGAAAAAATTTAACTTAAATGTTATCAACAAGAATTCCATTATAGGCGTACATAATAAATTACCATGCGTCGTAAGTCTAAAAAAATAGATAAATAAATAAATATATTCAATACCTGGGAATAGCAGAATGCAATGGGTTAAAAGAACCATACAGATAAGGAAATTTAATTCCTGGAAGAGAATACTATCTTGATAATGGTATAGGCCAACTTTATGCTCACAAAACTACTTGAATTTCGATGAACTTGAGCTTTTCTGGTGCTAACATGCTTTCAGAAAGCAAAGCACTTTGAGATAGATCAAACCACTTGCGAATTTGCTGCCGTCGCTTAGCAACAAACTGGAAAGCTAAAAGCACTAGTTACCTTTTAACTTTTAGGAGTTAGGTTTGCTAGCAGCTTTCCTATCTTCTGATTGCTAAGTCCTCTACCACCCAATCTTGCTTGGTCCATCAGCTATTGGAGGCAGCGACTGGTGAGATTGACAACAAAAGAACACCTTAGTATCGCTCCCCTTGGGAATTCTCTAACTGATGGCCTTCACTCTAACAGCTAGGAAAAACTACCTTTCAAGAAGGTACGGCTACTGACATCTTAGTCACTCATGCACGTCCCTTAAGGGAAGTGTGAGGAACCAGGGGCAGGACTAACACAGCTCTAGCATTGTAGTCATTAGTTAGTAGCCCTCTCCCCTGTAGAGCTAGGATTTTGTTTTGGGGGGTGGGGGCGCAGAGGCTTGCTGCTTTAGAGGAAAGAGAGTTCTCGCTGATCCAGTTGGGCTTTTGACTCAGCTTCATGACTCCCTATGAACCATTATTATGACCTGACTCTGTCAGATTCAGGGGGCCGGGGAAACATAGGAGCCACCAAAATCACTACAGCTATACCACTTCCACTCAAAAGGTGAGCATGTAGCCTTAAACCAAAAGGCCCGGATTTTGGTATTAAGGCAAATAGGTAACAGAAAATGCAAATACGCCACACAATAATGAGAATGAGGAACTCATTATTTTATAGTTCGGAAAAAGATGCCAATGCTGGAAAGGCTTGCCTCCACTCCAATTTATCTCCTAACCCACTTCAAGAGAGGCCCATACCTAGCCCACTTCCAGAGAGGTGGGGTGAGGGTCCTTGGAACAGTTCAAGAGGGAGTCTCAGTTAGAATCACTACTGTACCATGCCACTGGTGGTGGGCTGTCAGAACCAAAGGATAGGTTTGTTAGTATACCTAGGCTAAACTTTCACAATCTTCAATACCTATGGATAGTCGGCAGATTCAGTTCAGTAAAGCTCCAAAAGTCCGCCTAATTGTATCCAACAATGGAAGAAATCACAGAACTCTCTATAGGCTATTTCCATAGACATATAGATGATAGAATTTGAGGTGGCCATAGATCAAAATATATTCTTGTCCACAATTTTCTATTCCTATAATTCCAAGAAGTAAAAATAATTAGCTAAGAGGCAAGTCAGATGCTTTGTTTTGCTTCACTAACAGTCTGCTAAGACTTGAACCTTCATGCTGCCCGCTCGCTTTCTCAATAGCAAAAGCTTCATTTTTCCCTGTCCCTACTTTAGTTGCTTGCATCTCAAGTTTTTGGAAACCAATAGCTCCCTCTCAAATTAGTTCCGTTACAACCTTTATTAAACCAGGTATTGTGCAGGGTTCATAACAAAAATCTCATTAACTAATTCATGTAGCAAACCCTGCCCCACCCCCAGTATAGAAAAGAGTATTTTAGTATACTCATTACCTTAGTCATGAAAAAAGTCGAGCCAAAGCAGTTCAGCTCACCAATCACCTTTGTTTAATCAAGCTGATCTACCTTATAAAAAATAAAAGCGAAAGAGAGAGAATTGAATGTGTGTGAAGAAGAAAATAGTTAGGAGCAAAGAGAGAGAAGATTCAAGGGTGAGCATTCTTTATGTGTTTTGATGCCTTTCTGCTAGCCAAAAAGCAAAGAAATCAAATGGGATAATCAATCCTATAATCTACGAGTTTCCTAATCCTGATTGTAATCCTAAAATTACTCTTACAATGTTATGAAACATAGGACAAATTCAGTGAATGTACAAATCTTAAACAGAAGTATCTCAAATCCAAGGGGTATCACCAAATTGAAAAACAAGAAAGTCATTTAATGCCTGGTGATGACGGACAAACAAACATCCTAAGATAATTAGTATATGAATGCTGGCAGTAATCTGCTAGACAAATTGGTTCTATGACCAGCATATGGTATATGATGCTTCATTGCTTCCTGTGACAAGCAACATACACTCTTTTTAAATAAGTATCTATTAGGTAAATTGTGAGAAACCTGCTCATACAAATCCGTAAAACAATGCCCATTATAACCTGTTACAATGATTATAGACTAGTGTATAGACACAGATGCCAGGATATCCTTTTTTTCTTTTTGTGATAATGAACTTCTGAAATAAATGTAATCTCCCAGAACAGAGCGTCTCAATATGTTATCACGTCGGATACTAAAAAGAAGACCTGTCACAGGCAGCTGTACCCTATCTTTTCGGAGATCTGTGACAAAGTTAGAAATTTAAGGGTGTCTTTCTCCCATTCGGGAGAGAGACTAATGTGTAAGCTGATGTGCTGGCAGTGGAACGCGTGTTTTAAACCAGCAGTAACAAAGAATTTGTTGTAAAGAAGGGTCGTCAGTAGGTGGTGCAATTAGTGTCTGGTGTTTATAGACTTTGCTTTCTTTCTGAATAGAGAGGGTATAATCACGTGCAAATCAATTTTTCCATTAATGAGATATTGTTAGCTAACCCAAATAAAAGCAATTTTACAACACAACCCATGGCCCTGAAGACATGAATTTCTTATTTCAATCTTCGCCAGCTACTAAGAGAATTTCTTAGGATCTATAGGCATGAATAACAGGAACCATAAGAAAATGACAATTGCCAAGTTAAAGGACAATGAAATAAAATCAGCAAAAGATACCACTTCAAAGAATTAACAGTAAGTCAATTACACACTGGTTTTGGTATCATTGATTTCTTGGCTTTTTAGTTTTTGGGTTGGTCTTGGCATACAGCTGGAACCTTGAATGGGGAACTTTAAGTTCGGCATGTTTCCTTCGTTTCCTGCTTCGCTTAGACATAGAACCATCTCCACCAGATTCCGCATTTACACCAGATGGAGCTCCCTTCTCCCCGTGCTCCTTTGATTTATGCTTCTTCTGGGACTTTGGAGCATCCAAGTTCTCACCTCTGAGAACCATTTTTATTCTCATTTTTTGACTTAACCTCTTACGCTTGGAAACCTTCCATTCTTCTGTCCTATAAGGTGCAAGCTTCTTTAAAGAGACATACTGATTCAATTCTTTGTCATCAGTCATTAGAACCTCTCCAGCCTTCAGACCATAGTTATTAGCAGGAACTGATCTATACTTGAACCGTGTCTTTAGATCTCCTATTGTATCTTCATAATCCAGCTTAAAGTACTCCTCCAAGTCCTTATCTATGGAAACTTTCTCTGATAGTTTGGCTTTCTTCTTTTTTCGTTTTTTACCACTACCCTCTTCAACATCCTCATCAATGTCACTCAATTCTCCAGCAGTGCCTTCTACATCTTCATGAACACCATTTTTCTTCATGTTTAGGATTCTCCCTCTAGTTGCCAAGAACCCTTCTCCAGGTTGCAATGAATCCCAATCCTTTGGAAGGCCAAGCAATTCATCTTCTTTGTAGAAATCTGGCTTTTCTATGTCAACGTCATCGTCACTTTGGAAATCAGGATCAGCATCCTCTTCCTCATAATAGTCTTCATTGAAAATGTGCTTCATTTGTTTCTCATGCTCTTCAGGATCAAACTCACCCTCGAGATACCTCTCATTAAACGAGTATTTCCCATCCTCTTTTATGCCGGCAATGTCTCGTATCCTTGTTAGCCTATCCATTATCTCTTTCTTCTTCACATTCTTCAAATGCTTCAGCTCCTCTTTCCTCTCAAACTCCGCTAAAGCCATTCTCTCCTCTTTGCTCTTTCTTTGCAACTTTCTAGCATTTGATTTCTTCCTCACTGAGCCTTCAAAATAACGGCCATGACCCAATACTTGATCTCCTGCACCTTCCTCAAACCTAAAATTGTACTCTGATTCATACCTGTCTTGTTCATCCAATTCCTCTTCATCTTCAGAGATCCCAAAAAGTTCTTCATGGGAAGATTTGTTCTCCTTGTTCTTATCAACCCAGCCATTGTTCAAAAGATAATTCTTCAAAAACATCTCATTCTCATCCAAATCATCATCTTCTCCAAAATACTCATCTAATTTTCTAGCAATTTTGGCTTCCTCTTGCTCTAACTCTTCTTGTTGAGTGTCTTCCTTACTCCTCTTCTTCTCCTTGAAAAAACCCACATCTTCATCTTCATCATCTGAAACCCCCTTTGCAGCATGAAGAAATTCCTTTCTGAGCTCTTCTTGCTCTTCAACATAGCTTTTTGGGGCCAATCTTGCAGGCTTTTCCTGATCAAATTCAGGCCCGTTTTCAAGTAATTGCCGGGCCACAACATCTTTTAGATACAATGCCTTCTTTTTTGGTGATCTTCTTTTTTGGCCATCTACATCACTATCCTCGTCTGAATTGAAGAATTTAACATCCTTCTGATATATCAACGGGTCATTATTTTTAACTCGAACCAAGGCTTCATAAATCTCAGCATCTTTCTCAATGGGAACAATCCCGTCTTCATCTTCATCTTCATCTTCTGATGAGCTTTCTTCTGAATCACCAACGAACCCTTTCTTCTTCAACTCCTCTAACCTTTGCAAATCCTCGCGTCTCTTATTATGAGTAAATCTCCGAGCAAACTCTTCATTCACTTCTATTTTGGATATGTCCTCGATATCATCCCCATCAGAATCATCAAATAAATTTTTACCCATTCTATTGGATTACACTTTCTGTACAAACACACAAAGCCTAATGTCATGATGGAGAATAAACCAGGAAATGCAAATAAACAGGCTATAGTTTTAATATTATCTAAAACATGGTAGATGCCCACCACAATAAAGAAAGGAAGGAAAAAAGGGTGAGAAGAAACAAATGGAACTGAACCAGTGGACCAAAACTCGGCAAGTCAAACTCGTACTTGCCCAATTTAACACAGCAAGCTGCAGAATAAGGAACCAAAACCATTTGAAGTTCCCAATCTTTTATTAATTAATTTCTTTAGTACTCAACCGAGTCTCTGACAAACTCAGCCAGTCTCTGACAGACTCGGCTGAGTCCGATTTTCCAGGCTTGGCCTCGAATCCCTAGTGAGTCTCAAGCGTGGCCTCCTTTTAAAGGACTGAATCAAATATCATACTGGATCATCTAAAACAAATATTAGAAGACAGGAAACAATAGTGATAAAATAACAGAGGGGTTTGAACTGATTTCAGTTGGTTCCTGGTTTCCCAGTGATTCAGACAAAAAAAAAAACAAGAAACAAAAATACCAAAAAACCAAGAGAGAGAGAGAGAGAGAGGCAAGCTTCTAATTTGGGGATAAACAAAAGCAAAAACCGCAGACGCCATAGTGATGAATTATGAATTAAAAACATTAAGGAGACAACAAGATGATTTGGGAACTTTCATATTTTTCAATTTTTAACTTTTCTAAAATATTCAAGGAATAAGATTTAAATCTTTTAATAATACGTCTTTCATATATTTCTTCATCTTCTTTAATCTTCTATCACCTACTTCAATTTTTTTTACAGTTTCTTTACTTTTTTTTCTCCTTGACCTTTTAATATTTAGGGGGTGTAAACTCTGCCCAGTTCGAGTGAGTTACCCACCTCAGCCAAGGGCGAAGTACCTTGGCCAAGGCAAGCTTTAAAACCTTGAATATATGTGACACAATTTACTCTTTAGATCGAGAGATATCAATTCAAGCAGGTATAGATGAATAATGCTACATCTAAATTTGCTATAAATTAAGAACCAAAGTGGCTCAGTATCTAAAAATCGAAACATCAAGAAAGAGAGAAAGTACGAAAACCAATTCGATAAGTGAGGTTTCTGCAAATTACTGATAATTACCTTGAATTCAATGGATTATTACGGTAATAGTTAGATTCCGTAAACTCACAGGGCCCTCTGAAAATATCAGTTTTCTGAAAATCCAGAAATATAAATTCCTCAAAAGACCCATCAAAAAAATAGAATAAAGCAAACAAATTCCAATAAAAACAACTAGAAATTGACCACAACAAGATATTAAATATCAAAGAGAGCACAAATACTAAAATTTCTTAAGCGTTCCAATAAAAAAATTGAAGAAAAAAATGGGTGACCCCAAAGTAATTCAATTAAAGTTACAGAAATAAGTATTGGAAAAGTTGGGAACACCAGAATGCAAATCCGAAGAGAAAAAGAATGCAGAAGAAAACCCATCTCACATTAAAGAAACTCTATAATAATCAAAATCGAACAATTATAATCAACTGAAAATAAACCCTAAAAAAATACAATCAGAAAGTATGGGCTCAACTGCTATCAAATAAATAAGCCATGGTAAACAACAAAAATTTAACCTAACATTCCTCTACTGATAAGGAGAAAGGTGGAGGGGAGTTGTTAGAATAGAGAGAGAGAGAGACAGAGAAAGAGCGTGCTCCTTGTCTGTCTTCCGCGAAGCGGGATGATGGAGAGAGAGGGGCGGGGGTAACCGGAGAAACGAAGGGACATGAAATAGAGAGAGAGAAAGAGAGAGTTGATGTGATATTGAGAGAGACACAGACCTGCGTTTATGGTTCTAGTGAGAAACCACGAGCTCGGTTCAACAAAAAATAGTGAAGGGAAGGAGAGTGGGATCTCCTACGGTGGTGTTTGTTAACTTTCGCTACAGTCTCCCTAGGAATCACCCCTGCTGCTAACTTTCCTAGATTCTGGGATGCAGGTGAAAATTGGTAGGGTGAAAGCTGCAAACCCTATTTGATAAAACTGTAGTGTTGATAATTTCACCTATTTGACAATGGGAAAGCTGGAAACTGCTTGTAATAATGCTAATTATGTATTTCATTGATATAATGTGCGAAATTCACTTTTTTAATAACATTTGGTAATTAAATAAGGTTCCTTCCATTCATCCAATATAATACTAAACATGTAAATAGATTCAAATAATACTTTTGTGCCTGGAGATTTCATAAAAGTGTGCACCCCCTCTGATGCTACCAATATTTACATAGATAAGAAACAAATTTGATTTTCTTAATAGCAAAATTTCATTCAATGCACAGGCAGCCTTCAAGAGAAAACATATGCCAGTTATTTAAGAAATAGATATTTAAAAGTTTCAAAGCTAATCAAAATTTTAGTATACTATTAACAATATATTATTAGTTTCATACGGTTACTCGTAATTAATTATCAAAAGCTTGTACATCTACTTGTGAAAATGGCTTCTTCAACACATATTTATAGGATATTAAAAGAGGACATGATATTACGAAATAAAAATAAAATTATATGAATATAGCATTTGGAGCCTACACCATTCCTAAATACTATGTTGGCTTACTCAAAAAAAAAAATTTACTCACTCAAAAATAATAATATGTTGGCTCCCTTACCCATGAACAAAGAAAGAATACTAACAAACTCATTCTTCATAAATTGATGCAGTATAAGCTTGTCAACCCATGGCATTGTTGTGACATACCATTGATTTATAACATGGCCAAATGACATAATTCAAATAACTCTAGCCATAATATCAAATACACTCAAAGCTTCTAAGCTCTCATGGATCTAATGAACATAAGTGAAGCAACGACCATATGCTGCGACCTGGATGAACTCTAGGCAAACAATGGGCTTTCAAGTTGATTTGAAGCAAGCTATCTAGCAATTTCAGCCATTCAAACCCAACTTCAAGCAAAATAATGATCCAGATTTCATAAAAGATATCAAAGGACAGTATGGATACATCCAAGTAGTGATGAGCATACAACAATGCAATACAGGAACATTCTCTAAACGTTTTTGGAGAGGGAGATTGTTCACAGTGAGAAAGAGATCCTCCATTAGTGAGCAAGAAGAGAAGCCGACAGAATGCCTCCTTTGCCTCTTAACGTTTTCTCTCTTTTCTCTTTTTTCTTTTTTTTTTCTTTGACAACCTTACAAAGAGAAAAGCAACCTCTAAGCTATCAATTTCAAATTCGCGAATCAACCATAGTCTTTCTAAACTCCAACATTCTTCTCTTCAATAATCGATTTAAAAGGTCCTGAATTTCTGTCTAACCTTTCCCTACAACAACGGTTCTCTTCAATTGTCAAAGTAAACAAGTCATTGAATTTCTCTCTCTACTGCAACAAAATCACACATCAATCTACAATCAACTAAGTCCTGGAGAGAAAAAACATATTACTATTGATAAGCACAGTCTTTCTCACTGTAACCAACTCTTCAATCAATCTAAAACACCCATAAAATCAAAATTCATCCCAATTCTTTATCTCTATGAAAAGTTCAGACCTTTACTCTCTGTAATTGCTCTTTTTGCAGACTTTGCCCTTGCTTAGCTTTTTTTCTCTCAATCTCTCACTGCTGCTGCAAATGAAGAAAAGGTTTGAGAGAGAACTGGAAATAGGAAAGCTGTTAAGAGTAGGTGAAGGTAGGTAAGGTAGACACAGAGAGAGGATGGAAGAAAAAGGACAGAGGAGAGAGAAAGGGAAAGCATATTTTCATCCACTCCAATTTTAAGAATAAACTTCAATCCATTCCATTATGAATCAAGGTAATAAATCAGATTATACAGAAACGCTCTCAGCTTTGTTACCGAACATCACCAAAAACCACCAAATAAACAAAGAAAATCCAATACACAATAATAAAAAAAAAAAACTTTATGGAGGGACAGTAGCAAGCGATGGAAATTCCACACTGTAGACTGAAATTTCGTGGCTCCCATTTCAAACCACGAAATAAATAACTAATGTAGCTCTCTAGAATCAGTAAACTAGAATCACCAATACAAAATTATATGAATCGAGGTTGCTGATTTTTTACATGCATTTGGGGCATCAAATGCTACGAATCAATAAAATAAATCAGATTATCTTGTCCACTTGTGTATGAAAATAAATGAAGCAATAAACCAGAAAACAGAAAAAAGTCCAGGAGATTTACAAAATAAAAAAATATAACTCACTGATTGAGAAGTTGGTGCTCTTGCTCGCTAGGGTTTGCTCTTGCTCGCACAGGTTCCTCTAGCTCTTGTTCGCAGAGGGTGAGAGAGAACGGACGGAAGGGAGGCTCGAAGAAGGGGGAGATTCCGGAGAGGGGAAAGAAGAGTGCCTCGCTAGGGTTTTTTACGGGGTGAAAACTCCCGCACCCACGAGAGGAACAATAAAAACCGGGAAATGGGTGTTCCGACTTTCACCCTTCCTACCCAGTTAACAAACGCCATCTTATTTGATTTCTCGCAGTGTTTAAAATTTTGGATCGGTGCGGTGAACGACTCATTCTCGGTTCCGAATTGAACCGGCATTGAAATGCAATAAAAAATCTAAAAAATTATGAAATTACTCATAATGTAATTTAATAAGTTTTATAATTACAATAAATATATATGGTCTTGGAATAGTTTTAAATATGCAAATTTAAAAAATAAAATATGTATCTTGAGCCGAGACTCTAAACAATCAAATTAGAGCCCACGTCAAAAATTTCACTATAAGATGTTGTTTTGATGCCCAATTATCTTCAAATTTATCATCTCAACATCAAGATACATGGGCATGAGAAAAAATAGATTTCAAGTTTTAGAAATAGTGTGTCTCGTAATGTATTTTTTGATCGTCAATTTACAATATTTTTAAGTTTTTATGGATTTGCTCAATCTGTATTATTTTTTAAACTTTAAATTTTACAATTAAAAATAAAAATATATTTCAAGGCTATCATAAATATTTCCAATCTTGACATCACATTTCTTTACACGATTTGAATGTACATTTTACTTTGATTGTTTAGAGCCTCAGCTCTATAGAAATTGCACCCAACTTTAAATGGTTCACTTTTTATATAAAATAGTATTTTAAAACCCCAATGATTTTCGATTCGGGTTACCAATCTAAATGTGAAATCGGTCGGGACACAAACCGGTTCCAAAATGGTTTGGGTCTAGGCCCAATTCCCCTCTAAAACCCCCTTTTCTATTTTTAGTTTTGTTTTTATTTTAGCATATCTAATTTGTCATTGGTCCTCCCATAAATCCCCACCCTGTAAACCTTTATTTATATTTATATTTTATTTTATTTACTTGTTATTTTTATTAGATGATCAATCCAAACAAATCGATAATGATTCGGACCGCCGATCCAAATCGGTTTGGGGGTGGACGATTAGGCATTTTGATGAATTTCTCTAAAAAATGCAAGTGAAAACTTTTAATTTTGGTTATTTAAAAATTTAGACAAATGTTTAAAAATCTCAAATTACTCTAGGAATAATACTATTGATGAAAGAGAAATGACCTTATGAGACCCTCCCACACCTATGTGTGTAGGACCCCAAATGATCACCATTAAATTTGACACATATCTCTATAAAAGTTATCACATGGGTGTAGGACTTAACTTTTATAGAGATCCATGCCAAATTTAATAGTGATATTTTGGGGTCCTACACATATAGGTGTGGGAGGGTGTCATAGGATCATTACTCTTTATGAAAATATCGATTGCTCTTGCGTGAGCATATTGCGTATTTCTTCCCTCTGGATGAAACTTGTATTAGAAATTTTTTTGGACCCAAAATTTGATGATATAAATATTATGACCTAATAACCAACTTTAAAGATAAATAAATAAATACAATTTGCTATGGGAAAATTTAGCATCCCAATAATAAAACAATAACCACTCAAGGGAGATATGATCTAGTCAATCTAGAACTTAAAATCCATTTATTTTAATGAAAATAATAATTTGAGATAGACCTTGATCCTGTGTACCATCAGATGATACTAGGAGTGTGGTGTATCAAGTCTAGTTGAGGTACTTGGAGTGGGGTGTATCAAGTCTAGTTGAGATAATCTTCTAACAAGTCCAGTTGATATAATCTTCTAGCACTTTATTTTTATGTTAGTTTGTGTATCTTGTTCCTTACTGAGTGTGTAATTTTTTGTTATTGAATTATAGGAGTTTTATTTAATGGCAACAAGTGAAAACTTTTTTCTTTGTTCATCTTTGTTTATTTTAAGTTTTTTTTTTGTATTTATTTGGATATATGTAAGTATTTTAGCCGGTAAAATAGATAAAAATCATAAACCGTTTATACTGTGTCAATTCACCATGTCAAACTTTCATTAGTGTCAGAGATTGGGTTTCGTGCTGCTATTAGTTTAGTTTTTTTTTTTTTTTTGTTATTTGAGTCATTTTATTTATTCACGATAATAACATATTGCTGCACCAAGTTTATTGTCGAGATTTTGAAAACCGAAATGTTTGATGACATGAATTATACCTCATGGCAGCGCAAACTAGGCTATGTGTTATATGAGGAGGGTTTGTATAATGTCCTCACAAAGGCTCTTAAGTTTTATTGTCGACATTTTGAAGACCACAAGGTTTGATTATACGAACTATACACCTCATGGAAGCGCAAGCTAGGTTATGTGCTTCGGAGGGTGTATATAATGTCCTCACAAAGGCTCCTCCATCTCAGGCTAGAGGAGATGTATCTCATGCTACGAGCCTATGATGGATGCATATGCCGAGTGCAGCGTAATAGTATGCTCACAAGACAAATCTTGCTCATGACTACGAGGTCTGATCACGTGCTGACACTTGGATGACACTGAAACACGTGTTAATATTTGTAAAAATGGATACGACACATTCCTTTACTTGTCTAATAGTATAACTATTTATTGGAACATGTTTCATTGTTATAATAAATCATATATTTGTCTAGAAGCATGATTGCACATGAAGAATATTTTATTTTGAAAATATAAAATATTTAGAATAAAATAATATATTAATTTACACCGCCCAATTTTGAAACTCCATTTTTCAAATTTGAAAATATTTAGAATAAAATAATATATTTTGTTATTTTTATTTTTAAAATATAAAATTTGTAACCCATCTTCACTTTTTAAACAAGAACAATTGATTGTGTGTTTACATAAGTCAAATTTGAAGCGCCTAATTCATTAAAGTAAAATTAAAAAAATTGTCTATATTTACGATGAAATTTGTCTGTATACACATAAGTCAATTTTGAAAATACCTGTCAATTTTTAAATAAAAAAGTTAAAATAAAACGAAACTTTGTTTTTTATTTGGAATTAATAATCAGAGTAGTAGTTTGTAGCTTTTTCATATTGTTACGAACTTATGATACAACCTGCAATTGGACTTAACAAAATACTTTATGAATAAAATTCAGATTTACAAAATAACAAATTTTAATTTATTAATTAACTTATTTTTCTGTTATACTTTACTATTGTTATAACATATAAATTGTAGTATATCAAGTAAATATAATAATTAGTGTAAAAAAGTGATGACTTTAAATTTTTTTTAAACCCGTCTCACGCTCGGCTAAAAGAGGTGAGTTGTATTAGGTAAGCAGTAAATATAAAATTTTATTAATTTTTTGATGTATATTGAATCTATATTAAATATAGGGACTTGTGATTTACAGTGCGGTTTATATAGACCCGAGGCTGTAACGATCAAATTAGAGCACACCTTCAAATAGTATCGAGAAATGTGGTTTTAATATCGAAAATATTTGTGATAGCTTTAAAATATATTATCATCTATAATTATAAATTTTAAATTTTTAAAAATAGTGTAGATTGAACAGATATATAAAAACTTGAAAATATTAAAAATTTACAATAAAAAAATTCATTACAAGATACACTATTTTCAAAACTTGAAATCTATTTTTTTACCTTGTTAATGCATCGTGATGTGGAGATGATCAATTTGAAGATATTTGAGCATCAAAACAATCTCTTCTAGTGAAATTTTTGAGGTGGGCTTTTATTGTTTAGAGCCTCGACTCTATATAAATTTTTCCTATGATTTAACGGGCCATATTTCACTTATATGGGCCTCAGTCCATGTTACCCGCCAAATAGCTTGCATTCAGACGAGCTCATGACATTTTTCGGCCTCTAATAAATTCGCGCCATAAATTTCAGACAACTGACACGTGGCAGGCATTAGGAGCCCATGGAGGACTATAAATAGTTTCGGATTGCAAGTATTTTTTCAGCTGGCATGTTTTTAGCCCAGGAAAACCAGAGACGGTATGTGTTTACATCCATTTTTTCCAGCCATTTTTTCTGTCGTTTATTTTATTTTTTTGGATTATTGTTTAATTTTTAGTTTATATTTATTTTTTATGAGGTTTCTATTCGGTATAAGTGGAATCTAGTGACTTCTTTCTGTGTTTGTTTACGTGGGGGTTTTTATGCAAATTAGGGTTAGGGTTTACTGTAATGGGAGTGGTTTCAGTCGAATAATACACAAACATATGGAATTAAACCTTTCGTTTTTGGTTAACTGAGGTAAAATTTTCAGAATTAAGAGAAGTGGGTGACGCTGGTTTTAAGAAATCGTCGGAGCATTACTGGTTTTGACCGTTTCAGCTGTAATGTTGAGATTATTGTGTCTTGTTTAAGAACTCATTTGTTGTGTCTTGTTTAAGAACTCATTTGATAATGGGATTTGTCTCCTCTTTGCTACTGTGGAGTTGAGGTACACCCCATTGTTGCACTTATGGAAGCTTTATGTTATTCTATTTCTGGGTGAGAAGTTACGGAAACAGCAAATGTTGGTCTGTTATTTAAGGGAATGCAAGAAACATTCACTGTAGGGTAAGTAAACTGGTGAATGGAAAATTGGCAAGCCAGATTCAGACTCGCCAAGTCACTCGACTACCGAGTCAGGTACTGAAGCCATGACTGGTGGAGCCTCGCCGTTTCCCAATATTTTATTATTATTACTTTTAGGACTCAGCCCAGTCTTTGCAGACTCGTCGGAGTCTGAGTTTCCTAACTCGGGCTTGTGACCCTGGCGAGTCCTGATCCAAGTCCTTGTTTTAAACCACTGAAGGAAACATGTAGCGAACGACAATGTGAAGAAATTTTCACATGAACTTGAAATTGTGGAGTTTTATTATTAGGGGTGATGTCCATCAGTCCATGGCATAGGAAGTCATTAAGTGTGTGTTTTTATGGAAGCCGTGGTTGGTTTCTCCATAAGATTTAAGGAAGCTATACAAACTTGATGAATGAGTGTCTAAGGAAACCCTAATTCTTGGTGGATACACTTAAGGTATCTGTGTGGCATGATAGGAGCTCGTTTAAGTAAATGGTAGGTTTTCAGTAATGAACTTACGGAAGAATCTAGCCAAAAAAGAGAAAAAAAGCCCATCCTTTAGTGATGTTTATTCAAGTGAAAATCCTTAATGCTGTGCAATAGGCCCAGGGAATCTCATGCGCTTGCTAAATGCCAGTTTAAAAGAAAAATATGCTAAAATCCAGTGAAATTTTGTTTTTTCAGTTGTGCATTCAATGTATTTTTTGTAGGCAATCTAATTGAAGCAAAATTCAGCAAGAGAAGGAAGAAGAGTGATCCTGTCAAGTTGTTTTGACTTGTTAGAGCCATCTTGCTTCAAAGCAGGTAATTGGTAGTTGATTCCCATTTCAATCAATTGAATCTGAGTGCTTTTGTTGTTTATTTGATTTTGATAGACTACAAACTTAATGTAAGCCTGCGTTTAGGTTTCCTTGCATAAGTTTGCATCTGAAGAAAACTTTGGGCAGTTTAAAACAAAACCATGGCTTGAATTTCAACTTGTTTCTATGAGACAAAGAACTAAGGGTTTTTTTATTTTTATTTTTATTTTTTATTTTTTTTATTATTTATTTATATATATCTCCAGAGAAGTATGAAAGAGCAAGAAAGTTATGTTCCACCACAATACATTCCTCTGCAACAATCTGATCTTGATGATGGCAGTGTTCGAGGAGATGAAACTGTTTCTTCTAAGTTGCACGAGCCAAACACAACACAATGGTCATCAGGAATCTGTGCATGCTGTGATGATATACAGAGTTGTATGTTGGTTTTTAATTCTTATGGTTTATTTCAATAGATAGAATACAATTTATGTCTGTTTGCATATTCATCTTCCATTTTTTCATGTATCCTTCATGATATAAAGTCCTGCTTGTCTTGCTATAGATAGTGATCCAGCTTACCAAAAAAACGATAGTAGGATCGGAAAACAGATTATCAAGAGGAGTTTCTATGATCTCTTTTAAAAAATTATTATGCTAATTTTGTTATTATGTTCCATTCTAAAAAAAAAAAAATGAAATGAAAAAAAAAATCTCATGCTATTTGTATGAAGTTGATGCCTCTTCCAAGCCTCTACGGATCCAAATTTCTGAGCAAGTGCACACCATTTTCTATCACTGTAATTTTTTATTTATTTTTTAGTAGGTGATGTGGGTATCTGAATATTGATAGACGACCAAAATGCGAACTTGGTCAAGACAATTGAAGTGTCATAAAACTTAGTACTTTCACTGATTGTTCAGATATTGCGTCCTGGATTTAATATTTTGCATCAAACTTTTTAGTGCCACTAGAAGTAGATGGAGATGCTTAAATCTCATTTGAGGATCAATTATATGTTTGTTTGAGAAAAACTTGTCCCCATGAAGACAAGTCTTAAATGGCAATAGCTTCCAACATTATAAAACTTTGTTGTTTTACATCTTGTAGCATTGATATTTTCATATATTTCGCATTTAGGTTACACATCATTGAAAATGAGACTCGTGAGTTGAGTTTCTCATTGTTGTCAAATAGTTTTTGCTTGAGGGTACTGAATTATTTCTATGACATGGCAGGTTATATGAAAGGTTCTTGCATACATTAAGTATTCATTTCTGTCATTTATGCTGTTTCAATACCGATCAATACCCAGTTTGAAACCAAATTTCTTGCATAATTTATATCTCTGATTTATCTCGCACTTGCCACTGCAGGTTGTATGGGTTTCATGTGTCCATGTTACGTGTTTGGAAAGAATGCAGAATTTTTGGGCTCTGGAAGCTGGATAGGGCCATGCATGATCCATTTTGTAATGTGGGGTCTTTTCAATGGGCTTTGTTGTTTGCTCACTGAAGGTCTCTATTTGGGATTTCCACTTTCCCCAGCCTCTTTTTACACTTATAGCTATCGAAAAGCCATTCGGGAAAAATATAATCTACCGGTACGTTATTGAATAGTGTTTCTCATCTAATATGAGGTGTTTGCCTATGTAGTATCACTAGAAAATGCCTATGTAATGATTCAGCATTCACCAATTGAGAGAAAGAAAAGAATACACATGATTTGCATGCTGAACTATGTGTCGGTCCACACTCAAAGATGGATTGCAGAGATAAACTGTTTATTGGTGATGATGGATGTTTTGCATTTTTATTTTATATATGAATAAGTTAACTTGGGACCTTGGTAGGGATGGAACTTTATATGTCAGAATGTGGAACCCTGCCACCCTGACCACCCAGGCTAGATGCCATTTGTAATGTTATACAGTTCATTTCGATGCTGCCTTGAGAACTGGTGGTGGACTCCCCTCTGCGTATCATTTATTGTACACATCATGTTATGCTCTAGTGTGGCAGGTCATATTGTTTGTAGCACTTGGGAGCGTACCCTTCCCGAACCCCGGTTCAAATCTCGACAATGGAAATTTGGATGCTTCTTTTTGCTCTGGCTCTACTCACTGGCAACTTAATTTCATGAGACTGAGGCAACTTAATTTCATGAGACTGATCCCCATCATGTCTAGGCTGTAGCTTCAAGAATGACTCTTTCTTGCTCTTTCATGGCTATGTCTGTATCTTATACTTATGTTATTTATGTTATTGGTCGTGGTGGTAATTTCGAGTTTATTGCAAAGCAATCCTGGCAAAGTATAATCTTATTAGTACCATATTGAACTTCTTTACTATTTTATGGTTCCTCATCCATCATTGAGTGCTGATGGGATGTTGGAGGTACTTATGTAGGGCATTACCAATGTTCAATAAGGCGGAGGCAGTCACCTAGGCGGGCGCCCAGACCAAAAAAACAGGTTTTTTTTTATTTTTTTATTTTTTTATTTTTTTTAAATTTAGATCCCCCCACCTTCCCCCATTTTGTGATATATAAAATTGTCTATTTTATTATTTAATAAGTAAGTTTTGTATGTAATATATTGTTAAGTTGCCAGAAGCACAGATCAAACCTAAACATCTACAACTTTAGATTGTAAATGAAATAATTATAACTCAAAATGAGCATTATGTCATTTAAATTTCGCAAATCAAAAGTCACTCACAAGTCACAAAAGTTTCAAAATTCCTTAGCAAAAACTCATATGAACGCATATCTGACCAACAAAGGCCACAAACTACAAAAAGTCTTCTTCAACAGACAAATATGATAAACTCAATTATGAGCTTGAGTTTTATCTTCACTATGAACACGACGTTGTTGTCTAGCATGCAGTCCACCTGAATCTGATGAGTCATCCTCCTCCACATAAAAACCTTCTTCCCTTGTCTCCTCTGAGTCTACATCCTCCTCTTCCTTCAAGATCGTCATTCTTCTCCTCGTCTGAGCCTTCTTCTTCCCCTTCCCCTGTCCCTTTTCCTGGGCCACTTCCTTCCCCTTCCTTTGTGTTTGGGATCTTGTAGCTCTCACCGGGGTCGATGCGAAACCAGCCACCTCTTGCACTTGGGCATGTCAAGCTCTCTCCCTCGAATACATGCTCATCCTTGGCATTGGGCTTGACCAACCACTCGCTCGTTTGATCTAGATCTTCCACAATTATGGGGTCTTCAATTTGAAAGCGCTCTTGATGGCGATCCTTCAGCCTTTGATTGTACTGAACAAAAACAAGGTCATTCAGTCTCTTCTGCTCGAGTCTATTTCTCTTCTTCATATGTATCTGTTTCATAGCATACCATTTCCATATTACAATTTTTTACTTTAAAAAATAGTATCAATAAAATTATTGTCGTAAATTGATAGGAGATGAGGCTAAGGTAAATAGAATATTCCGCATCTTGAAGGTGCTGAAGTTCGCTCACAGTCGGATGATGTACAAGTCAAGTTCAATACCCTTTGCGCCATCTTTTACAAGTTGGGGGCACTTTGTGCATGGTTGGCCCACCAAGAGGCTATATTACATTTAACAATAAAAAATAAGTAGCGAACATATATATGTAAATTTAAAATTTAAATAATTGAAATGACAAATACATCTTCAACTTACATGGATATATCTTTGTCCTTTGCCTGACAGCGATGTCCGACCCAAGTGTCCCCATTGAATAACAATAGAAGTCAAGTTCTATGGACACTTTGTCTTGGACATCTACATCGGGGTGGAGCCTCACCTTGCACTTGTTGAATGCGATCATGATATAATCTTTTCTCTCAATCTCAGGATCAAAATAGAAATAAGTAGGGTTAAGAAAATACCTTGCTAAGTGTAGCGGTATCTCCAACTGCAGATCCCACTTGCTATCAATAATTTTCAAGATGGGGCCATTTCTTTTGTCATCTGGATTCAAGTTATGCTTGATCTCTTCTCGAGCAACCTCCATTGCTTTGAAAATATGCCCCATTGCCGGTTCCCTTTCGCTATCAACAAGGCGAAGCACTTTCATAAATGGCTCAAAAATATGAAGGTAAAACTTAACCCCACTCCAAAACCTAGTTGACATGATAATGTCATAGACTTTTTTCCCCTTGGCCTCCTTAGACCACTTGCTTCCTTTCCATTCGTCAAATACAAACATGGTTCGCTGCTTGTCCTTCAATTCATTCAAAGAATGTAGAGACAAGAATGAGGTGGCAAACCTGGTGACCCCCGGCCTTACCAAGTCAGTCCCACCTGTAAATTCCCTCATCATCGCCAAAACATGGATGTGGCTATAAATGAAAACAATAATGACTTAGCTTTTTCAAGTATCTCATGCACCGATTTCCTTGGAACCAATATTTTCAAGCATGAGATCTATACAGTGAGTCGCGCAAGGAGTCCAAAAAATGTTCGGCTTCGAGGTTTCCAACATTCTAGCAGCTGCCATATTGGCCTTATCCATATATGTGACAACCTGCACAACATAATCCGCCCCTACCTCTTCAATACACTGATTCACAACACCATATATGAAGGGTGCATCATGAATCTTGTTGGATGCATCAATGAACTTTAAAAAGACCATTCCCATGGGGCAATTAACTATTAAGTTCATGACACTCCTAGACCTCCTATCGGTCCACATATCTGTCATAATAGTCACCCCAAATCTGCCCCAAGGATCCTTGTGTGGATCAGTTTGTCTACTTGAAGCTGAGGAAGACATTTCACCTCCAACTTTTATCTGTCAATTACCAACTTAAAACTTAACACCTAAGCCTGAAAAACACCTAAGCCTGAAAAATAGACAAAAAAACAAGGTCAAACTTGAAAAAATTAGAAATGGTTATCTAAAAAATTGCAATGATATCTAAAAAATTACAAATAGGATGTAACATTCACCCTTTAATATATTGCTTTCTTATTAAGCCAACAAATAAATAGGTAAAACATACACATCAAAATTCCAATGATATAACACAAAGTCAGAAAAGAATATCACACATGCAATTATTTAATAAGCTATAAACATTAACAAAATATTAAACTAATGAATAAAATAATTATGCTTTATGAATCATACATCAAGAAAACACATTGCACATACAATTATTTAATAAGCAATTATTAAACTAACTAATAAAATAATAATCCAAGATTCCAAATAGAGGATAACATGTCAAATATCTATCACAAAGCATCAAAGAAAAAATACAAATAGGAAAAAATAACATCATTAGACATTAAGGGAAAAAAATACAAAACCTAATGAAAACTATTGAAATATACCATCTTTCTTGAAGTGGACTCTATTTCGGGCCAAACCGAAATGTTTGGGATCCCAAATCTCCTCTTTTGCAACCCCTATAAGCCTCAAAAAGATTGGGATTGAATGACCCCCAAAACCCTTATCCCCTTTTTTAAGGAGGTAAAATATCCTTTTTTGCTCCCACCCGGAAAAACGTGTGAAATAGCTCCTTATGTGGAACCTGCAAAAGCGTGCGTGAGGTTAGGGCTCTTCTTATGAAGGGAGGTGATGATGACACTACTCGACTCTCAGCTGATGTTTGATTCGTATCACCTGAGAAATGAAAATTTTCCACCAAAGCCTTGCGGGTTAACTAGGCGAGCGCCTAGTTCCGCCTTATTGACTGCCTAATCGGCTGCCCGACCACCTAGGTGGCCGCCTAGTTTTGGTGCCTAATTAGTCCCGCCTTGAGAACGCCTAGGCGATCAGATGGCTGACTTTTTGAACATTGGGCATTACTTCACTGGAATGTATACTATATGGTCCAATAGACTGTGGAAAAGCCATAGTCATCGCTGCCTATTGGAATGATGAATGGTTAAAGAGAGGAGGACCCACCAACAAAAGACGTGACCCCAATGGTGTGTCTCACTCTCCATCACTGTTCATGATTCATTGGACAGTGATGGCCAGGCATTGTGTCCTGATCTCCATCATTCTCCATGATTCATTGGATAGTAATGACCTGATGGAAGGCCGTTTTTCCATATTGCATTGGATTATAGTGTTACTTATGTAATGGCCTGGTTTTTGTGATTTATAATTGCTGAGTTATCTTTTTGGACTTGTCTAATCTGTATAGTTATTTGATCCAATTATAGACACATTTCACTTCGCCAAAGTCTTTGGCCTCAGGCTTCGAACTAAAACAAAAAAATTGCCATTTGATGATTTGAATATTGGCGGTAGTGCGAGTTATTTCAAGTGGAAGGATTGAAAAAGGCAAGGGGTAGGCCCAAAAGGTCGTGGTTAGAAGTACTCCAAAAAGATATGGGGACTTATAGCCTCACTGAGGGTATGGCCTTTAATAGAGCAGAATGGTGGACCAGGATTCGTGTAGCCGACTCCAATTAGTTGGATAAAGGCTATAATGATGTGTATGTGTATGTGTATGTGTATGTGTGTGTGTGTGTGTGCGTATGCGTGTGCGTGTGTGTGTGTGCGTGTGTGTGTGTACGTATGTATATGTATATGTATGTATGTATGCGAATGAAAAACACTTTAAAACACCTATAAGCATATCTCTATAGTACTTCACTCATGGCGCATCACCTTAAATTTTGGGGTATTTGGTCATTTTTATTAATTTTATTATTTCTTTATAGTTTTTAGGTGTGCCTTACTGAGGTGTTTACGCCTTCAAAATTTGAGCCATGAACAAAGTACTGTAGAAATTCAGTCATGCGTTTTGAAGTGTTTTCCTATGTGAGTGTGTGTATTGAATTTTTAATTATTTTAGAAAAACCTAGGTCTTCACCTTAACTGATTTATGCACTACAAGAAAACTGGCAACACAAAATGCAGAATGTTATGGACATCTAGAATATTCCCCAACTAGTCCATTCACCTACAAATGTAGGGTTCTTGTTTGCACATGTTGCGGTAGTTGCTTACCTTATGCAAGGGAACATGAAATAATACTGCGTTTACCTCACTAAACTTGTTTTTGGGAAAAATGAAAAACACTGGTAACTTTGTTGTCTCATTCAGCACTTAAGCTGACCTCTATTTTGTTGCCTTCTGAATTCCTTTTACCTTAGGTTCTTGCTTCTTAACCTAACTAGCTGAGAGGTTTGGATCCTCTTTTAGTTCTAGGCTTACAGAATTTTAAGGTCCTGTAATCTCATATTGCATCAGATTTATAAAACCTAGACTTGGTCTAGGTGTATCTCCAGGCTCCAAGTAGGGTATGGTTGAAACCTTGTAGGTTGTAAATATCTGATGATATATCATAGATTTCAGAGCTAAGGGATCTCAAGATCTGAGAGCATAAGCAGGATTTCTCATGGAAGTAAATTTTCCTTTTCTTTGGGGCCAAATTAGTTTTGTTGTTCATTAAAAATAGTTGCCAAGTTGAAAGCTTGATGAGTTTTGGATGTTTCTTTTGAGCCACGCTAGCATTCACTTTGATATCAATCAACCATTTGTCGAGTGAAATAGCAGAACATGTGTCACCCTGATTAGTGAATTTTTTATTTATTTTTAAATATACGATAGAGAAATGATAACTTGAGATGTCTCAACTAGGTACTTCTCAAGTAAGGTTGTTAATTAACACTCTAGCCATTGACCAACATGGTTCATTGGCACGAATCCCTCATTGTATTATATTATTTTCAGAATGAAGGGAATCATCAGATTATATGTTTATTTGTTTTGTTATGTTCTGCGACATTTGAGGAAAATTTTCATTCTAGGAAAGGAACCCTTAAACCTTGAGGTGAAATTTTCCTTCAGTTCTATTTTCGTCCATGCCGTTACTTTTTATACCCTCCCCAAACACCCAATTGAGTGAATGCATATATTTATGTGTTTGTGCATTTTTCCTAATGTTGTTTATATGCCTTTTTGTCATTGAAGTTGGTGTGTTCTAAATCTCCATACTGTAGATAGAAAAAATAAAATGATCCAATAGGGTATGCAATTTGGCACTCTAGGGACACCCACCATGTTCACAATGATGGATGGTGGGGATTGACTGTACCTGGGTTAGGCTCCAGTGGGTCGGAACAGTTAATCTCTGCTAGTTATCATCAGGAATATTGTGCATGCACTTTGGAATACCACACGGCATACTCCATGGGATTATGGTACGCTCCATTTGTCAGGGGACTTACATTTCATGTTGGTCTCAGGAAGCGCCATGCAATGACACTACAACACATGTATTCTGCCAACTTTGTGCCATTTGTCAAGAGTACCGAGAAATTCGGGAAAGGTCGGAAGGCTTCAGTCTATCTGACCTCAATCTCACTACTGTCTCTGCTCCGCCTGTTCAGAAAATGGAATCAGACACACAAAACTAATATCAATACAAATGTGGGTCCCGAGACCAATGTAAGCTTCACACTATCTTGTCTTCAATCTTGTGTGTTTTTGCTAATCATCTGGGTTTTATTGTGATTGTTTTTGCTGAGGTTTTCTGCTGGCAATATGTTTAATGAGCCAAAGCAACTATTATATTTGGGGCTCGCCAGGATGCTGAGGTGGCAACGCACATTTTGGCATTGTTGGCATGGTGTTTTGGGTGTCATCCAAAATGTGCTTCGTCGGCATCTTTGGATGCTGCATTAAAACACCGTTTAGGTGTGAGTGCACACCTAAATTGCTGCTTTGTTAGTGACAAAAAAAATCAAATAAAGAAAAGCAGTGCTTTTTGATGAAACTCAAAATGGAAAGTGATACAAACAAGTGCGGCAGAAAAACAAGCGATTAATTGTTGAAATTGACTGAATTTTGAACCAGTTTATGGTCAAAATTCGACTTGATTTGGAGTATTTTCTAAAATGGCGAAATTTCAGGCAGTTTTCCAAATTTTTGGGTAACTTACTTTGCCTAACACAACTGTTGTTTCAAATCCTGGTCCATATTGATTTTTTTCTAAATTTGGGACTGTTCTCTGAAATAACAGAAAATTTCTCCATTCTTTCTTGGAGAATGACAGCCTGAAAATCCTCTTTTGAACTGTAACAAATTTAATAAAGTTGGGCAGGTGTAGAAGGTCAGGTTGACCCCAAATTGACGGTTTTGGGGCCTGACATTGACCTAGACCCAACCTGCCAGATGAGGTCAACCCCAAACGTGACCGGGATAGGTCCAAGCTGGACTTGGTTGGTTTCAGTTCTGTTGGAGCTAGACCTGACTTGCTGGGTCCACTTCTGGAGTCCTGACCCAGACGCTTGTCGGGTTGACTCAGCTGGTTGTTTTGCAGCCCTACTTTTTTAAAATGAACTTAACACCCAAAAATGCTATTTGATTGGCCCATTGGGCCTGTTTTTTCCCATCTTTTCAAACTTCCCTATAAAAAGTCCCATCTGGTTGGATTGGCAGTCAAAACCATATAAAAGGGAGATTTGCCTTTTTTGGTTCAATGAGCAATCAGATTTTGATGACATTCGTGTTAACTCAGGTGTACCATCACCAGTGGTGTATGCATATTGTACATAAAACAGTTTACCGTCCATTCCCAAACGACAGATGGTGGAGATCAGGTTTTGCAGGGCTATCAGAACATACACCTGGGAATGTTACATTCGATCTCGAACACTTGTCATCAGGAAAAGATGGGGATGCTTCTCTGGTATTCCATGATGCCATGATTCATTGTTATATGGTATACATATTCGAAATCAAAGGAAGAGCACACTGGTATGACCTCCTTGCAAATCTTTCACAATGGTCTTGGCACTGGCCAAAACCATTTCAAAATAAAATGTTTTCTGAGTTTCAGTTAGGACATTGTGTAGCAGTTACTGAAATGATCCCTCAGATTCTCTCAAAGCTTGCTTGTCTCCCTCGTGTAGACTGTTCAGTCCAGGCCGTTCATCTGAATGACCTGCTAATCATGAAACATTTATTGACCAGGTTGGAATCTTTAGCTCTCGTACCGATTCCGGCTGGTTCTATAAACCCCATCTTGGATTTTTATCAGTAGTGGTTTTGCTTTGAACATTTTTAAGGGGAAAATCTACATTGCTTTCTAAAGAAATGATTAACATAAACATAATTGTGGGAAGTTTAGGAAAGATAAATATGAGAGATAATCTATGAGAGAATTCAATACTCTTTGCTTAGACAGTGATTTTTGTCAAATTTTTATTTTAATAAATTTTGTTATGGCAGTTGATTATGGTTTAATGGTGAGAATTCCTTTGTCAACAGTATTCTGTTTGGGGGACCCCCGAGCTAAAAGTAAACCTAAACCTCACATGAAATTTTGTAGAAATTCCCTCAAAATATAATACGCATGTAGTGTTACAATATAGTTCCCAACTACCATCATCATCATCACCAGAGCTTTATCTTTAGTATCTTAGGATATTGTGCCCAACCAAATCCCTTGAAATTAAATTGGAATTGTACATTATGAGACTATTTACTCTTGTTATAAAGATGTCACAATTACTTCCAGTTATTAGATTTCAAATTGGACAGTTTGGGTTGTGTTATAAAGTTGAGTTTATTTTATTTTATTTTTTTGAACTTTGAGTCGAGTCAATGATATTTTTTTAACAAGCCGATTTAAATCTAACAGCTACCTTTTTATACTAAAAGTAAATGGTATTACAAAATTGCCACCTTTTTATACTAAAAGTAAATGGTATTACAAAAGTATATAGAAGTACTTTTCCAATTAAATCTAACAGCACGGTTTTAATTACCCTGTAGTGACTCGAAGATTCCCTAGTTAAACAAGCTACATTTAGGTGTGTTTGTATTTTTGAAAGATATCTTATGAAAAATTGAATCTTTTTAAATCTTCTAGAAAGTTAATGTTTTATTACGAAATGTTTAAATAAGTTATAGGTATTGTGTTTGATAACATATACATATTAACCATATAAATATATAACGTAATATAATTTACAATATAATATAAGATATTTATATATTATATAATCTAATAAATATATAATATATATCGTATAATATAAAATAGTTTTATATTATGTATATAATATTTATTTGAGTAATGATCTTATGAGACTCTTTTGCACCTATTGATATTATATATAATAAAATATATAATATAATATAAGATATTTATATATTATATATAAGAGTAATAATCTTATAAGACCCTCCTACACCTATGTGTCACATATGGGTGTGGGAGGGTCTCATAAGATCATTACTCTATATATAATATAATAATATAAATGTTATATATAATAGAATAAATATAAATTATATTTATATAAAATATAATGATCCTAGAAACACAAAGTTTTTGAGGTGGTTGAATGTCATATAATAATGTTCCTAGAAACACAGTTTTCAATATTTTGTTCGAGCATGGCTAATAGTCAAAAGCTCTTAAAAAAGGGTATGGTTTGCATAAGGTGTAAACCTCAAGTAATTACTGGACATCTTCGATCTTTGCTGAGAGATGTAATTTTGATGTTGAAAATTTTTCAATGACATGAAAATCTATTTTGGTCTCTAATTATGAGATTTAACGCTTGAAAAATGTGGTGAATTGAGTAGATTTATAAACTGAAAATTTTGAAAATAGATTATCCAAATAATACAGTTCATGATGTACTATTTTTAAGGCGTAGAAATCTTTTTGTATCCGTATCCGTATAACTTGAGGGTGAGATGGTCTATTCGAGGATTTTCTAATATGGAAAAGCTTTTATTGATCTATTCTTGGAATGCAACTTAATTTGGCGGTCAAACTTTTCCCAAAAACAAGGGCAATATGCGTTCCATCTATTGTCAGGGTTAGTGTCTCAAAAACCAGTCGGCCGGGTGAACCACGGCTCTAGATATCCGGTCAACGAATGAATCCGATTCTTCTGTGTGTGAACCAGTCCATAACAATTAAGAAAGAAGTGATAAAAAATAAAAATAAGAAAAATGATAAAAAAAATATAGGTGGGAAGAAGATGAGTCATCCAATTTGGATTATATGGTTCTTGACAGATTTATCCGGTTCCTTAATGGAACGAGTCCATCCAAGTGGGTTTGATACCCAGAGGAACTGGGTCATAGGGTCTGATTCCTAGTTCGGACCAGCACTTTTTTTAACACCAGTTGGGGTGATTTGATCCTCTACATCGTAAATGAGACCGTCTTCACATGATGGAAATTGAAACCGGGGTTCTAAAAAATGCCTAGCCACAAATCTGAATCGCCTGTGTGATCCGGATCTATGGACCCAATCATGGGTGGGTGATCCGGGTCTATAGACCCTGGAATCGTTCAACTCCTATTTATTTTTATTTATTTTTTTATTTTTTTTGCATGATTTGCACCAATGTGGATATCCAATTAATAGAACTAAGTGCATGGGAATGTGGCTTATGCTGAATCTTAGCTTCTCTATTTGATGAATTTGATGTTAGTTTTAATAAAGAAAAATAAAATAATTAGATAAATAAAATCGAAATCGATACACAACTTACTTGGATATGTTCTTAGATCACACGAGTGACTTAAAGTTTCATACCACAACTTATATACCAAATCATCTTGTGACATGTTACCTTGAGAGTTTTCTAGGTAAATTTTTTTTTTTTCCATATCTATTTTTCTATCATTTTCTCTCTTTCTATTCGAGGGGTTAACTTCTTTTTATAGAGAACCATATTTTGTACCTCTCACATTCATAGTCATAAGAGTTGAAATCTAAGTATAACTTTTGTCTTAATTTCTCTAAGTGCAATCAATTAGGATTCATAAGTTGTCACTAAACTGTTATTCGCAATGAGCTAAATTTGTCATTAGTGCACTAATGATTCTCATAATAGGAAGTCATCCAAGCATTCCTACAACTTATAAAAGATATGTAAAAATTAAATAATTTTGTATATTTATAATATAAAAATAATAATTTTTACAAAGAATCTAAACACATCACTAGGTTTTCCATCCAGTGCAACATCTTATAAAATCTTCAAAATTGATTATAGTTTATGGCATTGTTTCATGTCAACCACATATAATTTCACATATATTATACAATATGACTTTTGTACCATTATTAAAAAATAAATTTTTTGAATAAAAAGGCTTGATATGCCATATTTCCAATATTTGAGACATTAAGAGGGTGAAAGAGCAAAACATGTGATGAACAAGCAAAAGTTATTTTTGGCTCAAAAGAAAACAAACACGGACCAATTTTTTTTTTTTAAAAAAAAGAAAAAGAAAAAACAGGGACCCCATACCTAGTTTATTGGAGCTCACACACCAAAACCCCATCGTGATGAAACTTAAAAAAAAAATTTGAAAGGGATGAATGTAAAAGTCATAAAACCCGTATCCTCCCTCATGCAAAGATCCTGCATTCTGAAATCCAAACAGGTCAATGATTCCACCAATAAATAAACTTATCCTCTGATCCTTTCCTGTTTTGAATGCCTCAGGTTAACCACTCCCCACTTTTCCAGTTTAGGGCCTGTGAGTTTGAGCAAAATGGATTCAGGGGTAGCAACAGATCAGGTCGGGATCCGGACCCGAAAAAATAGTAATTGACCCAACTTGACCCGAATTCATTGAACCCGGACTTAGATATGAAAATATAGTATGGGACCCAAACTCAAACTCGGACCCAATCAGACCAAACTCAAAATTAAAATATCTATGTATTTAACTACATTTAAATCTATTTTATATATTGGGACCTGAAAAATATTACTAATTTTTTTGACCCATACCTGGACCTAGATCTAATTACGCCTTGGGTCCCAGGTCCATTGCCACCCCTAGATGAACCTTCCCAATAAAAGCAAAAAGCCATAGACACCCATTCTTCTATCATTTAATGAGGAATTATTTGAGAGGAAAAAAATAGTAATTTTTGTGATTACAATAGCATATGGTCAGAAAAAGCTGGACCGTCCAATCCTCATGGACATTCATAGTTGTAAGGATTTTAGTAAGGCTCACATGGTGCACAAGTGCTCTTCAACATATCATCCTATAAGGAAATAGTACTTTGATTTTATCTTTATTTCCCGCATGGAACTTTGAATGTGTGAGTACCACACTTAAAACGCACTTAGAAACATAAAAAAAATTCAGAAAAAAAAAATGACATTCAAAAGTATTTTGGTTAATTTACTTTTTATTAATTATTTGCTTCATTTTTTGAAGCAGTTAAAAATTCAAACTAAATGGATATTATTGGACAAGTTTTTATGACTTAGCCAACCTACCTATTGGTACGAGGCCTC